TTAAGAAAAAATTAAACACTATCTTTTATACCTCACTCCATTACCAAAAAAAGAGACTGTAAGAATTACTAACATCTCCTATAAATTCTGGACTGCAGTATGCTGCATGGGACTCAATGGTTCATTCTAACCATTCTCCCATCATGTAATGGACAGAAAAACATTTTTCCAACAAGAACACTAGTGACTAGAGGCAGCTGGCTGCTCATGGCAAGACACTACTTGTCCTTGGCTTTGGTAACCTCCAGCCATGCTGGCATAGCTGTCTTGACATACCTGTAACCTGTTCTTGGCAGACTAGGACACACTGTTAACATTATACATACATATATATACATACACACACACACATATAAATATGAAAAACATATATAGCAACATCTAAATTAAAAATATGTAATACATATAAATTACATAGCATATATAATAATATATAACATATATAGCATTGTATAACAGTGCTTCCTAGTCTGCCAAGAATGAGTAACAGATATGAAGTCTTCAAAAATTTTATGAAAAATGTTACATAAAAAAATCTATCCATGGATTTTAAAATGTCTTGCACCAAAATAAACCTGTACTTTAACTCCATTTTACCATTACCTTTGGGACGTCTCCTTCTATGTCAAGATAGCCATGCCCAACATGATATATGTAATAGTCACCTTATTACCTGGGTTAAAATCGTAGCTGTCTGACTGCAGATAAGGGACTAAGCTTTCCTAAAAACTCCATTTCCACATTTGTAGTAAAAAAATCAGTAACAGCGTCAAAGTGTTAATTTAATGATAAAATAACTTTCTTAATGCATTTCGCAGAGTCTATCAAAGAACTGAGTAAATATTAAATAAAACAATTTAATATTGGGTTGTCTTCAAAAGTCATTTTCTTTTCAAAGATGCATTTTCTTCTGGGACCAGCAGTTAGTGTAATGGCTCTGTCGCTGGACTCCCACGTAGTCCACCGCGGTTCGAGTCCTGGACCTGGTGGCTTAAACTCGTGCCAGGCACTTGTGCGTGCGTACCCACAATCCTGAGAGGAGAATGGAGAAGGGAATGCTGGACTCCTACATGGCCAAAGGGTTCCAATCCTGGACCTGGCAGCTTGTTTCTCACTTTGCCTCTCCCTTCCTCTGTCCCTCTCTGGTCAAATTAAAGTAAGTAAATAAATAAATAAAACACTTCTTCAAAAAAATAAAGATTCATGTTACAAAAATGGTATGATAATCCAAGTATCTTGGAATTGTTCCATGTGGACTAGTATTAGATTCCACTATACTAATTTGTTTTATAAGAATCTAAGAAAATACCTATCAAGGCATTAAATTCTAATGATGCCTACTCTGTTTTTTTTTTTTTCCCAGATGAAATACAAATTGGCTTAAGAAAAAATAATTCCAGGGGACCAATAAGTGGTGTGGTGGTTAAAGTACTGGATACTCCTACATGGCTAACCCTGGACGTGGAGGCTTGCTCTCTCACTTTCTCTCTGGTCAAACTAAAATAAACGAATGAATGACTAAATAATTCTTTAAAAAAAATTCCATTAAAATGATAAGATTCTTGACTCATGGCCTTTTTCATGTTTGTTTCCCCAAACACTGAGTACAGTTCTTGCTACATATTTTGTATATTTGCTGAATTAAGAAGACACAGGATAATAAAGAAATTGGAGTGCTTATCTCTCCTTTAACTGCCCACCCCCAGTAAAATTAAACACAATACTCTCAGAGGAAACCATAAATATTTTTATAAATTCAAGGTTAGAACTTAAAATATTGTATAGAAACCACACTTAGGCTGCTATTTCTAATAAGTGGGAGATGCTGAGTGCACAACAAGGTGTGTAAGTATTGTAGTTCAGCAATCCAAGAGAGGAATGAATGATCATAATTTCCGAAGGACAAAAAAGGTCTGACAAAAATAACTGGTGACTAATAGACGGGTGGTAAGATGGAGACTGCTGAAAAATGCACGGCGTACATAGAAAGCGTGCCAAATAAATTTGTTAGTCCGACTGTTCATAACAATGGCACACGCGAAGAAATGCGCATTAACTCCCTAAGTATAAAGGTGAAAAGGTCATTTAAAGGGTAAATACTTTAAAATAAAGTTAATCCGCAACCTATGGGTTTTAAAACATACGCCATTTGTGCTCAGCATTTAGCAAACTGGTGACAAAAGCCAGCTGCACGCACCAATCCACAGAAATCTTTACATCCTTTCCCATCTCCGAATAGCCGGCACTCTCCTCCCAGGGTCTCATCTTAGCCCCCTTTCTTCCGCAACCCCCAACCCCGAATCTCCGGGTTCCTTTTTTTTCGGTCTCCATCCCCAAAGGGTCCAAACGAGGTTTTACTACGATTACAGCCTGCGTGCCCCAGGAACTAAAATTACTCCCCCCTGTCGAAATAGGTCCGGCCCGAGAGCCGGAAGCGTGGTTCCCGGGCGCACGCGGGCCGCTCGGGCCTTCCAGGCCACGGGCCGCGGGAGGACGAGGGCGGGGGCACAGAGGAATACAGAATGTATGGGCATCTCCGGGGGGGTGAGCGTCCCTCAACAGCATCAGCCTGGCCGCCCCGACGCCTGCGGTACCGAATCTGAACCGTGTTCCTGCAGAAACTTGATAATGTCCTTCTTGGGCAACTGCTCGCTGCGCAGTTGCTCCACGGTCCACGCCCGCTGCGGAGCACCAGCCGCCATCTTCCCCCGCTGCCGCTGCTTTACTGAGCCAGCCCGCCTCGGTTCGGCATCGCCCCGCCCCTTGGGCGTGGCGCCGGCCCAGCACGCACTCAGGGGCGGGGTCATGCGGCGTCCGGTAGGGTTGAGGCCGGCCTTTGAGGAGCGTCGGGGCGGGGTTTTGGGGGCTGCTTTGTTGAGTCAGGGTTACATCCTGAGGTGGGTGGTGGTGGTCCACTGCGCAGGCGCCGGCCTCTGCGTTGTCTAACAGCTTTATTGCACAGGTCCTTATTCTGTGAATAGCCCAGTGTGTAAACTTTTTAGAGAGAAAACAACATTGACTCTTAATTTCAGTTTAGTTTTAGCTTAAAGATTCACACCTGAATTGGCTCCGTCCATGTCCATTAAAACAACCCATAGGCCACTAACCAAGCTCTTTTAATACTCATAAAATACACACTGCCTCTCCCCCCATACAAACACGATAAAGAATCCAGAAGCAAGTTCAAGAACGTGGACAAGCATAATAACAGTGTAAAGAAGATACATCCAGGATGCCGTTCCCTAATAATTCAGCAACTCCATGCTGTGTATTTACTTTACCTCAGTACATGGGGAAACAAATGTATAGTTTATTAAACGTAATCAGTTTCAGAGTAGAGAACCCGGGAATTGTACTCAAATCCGAAGTAGAAAGCTATCCCTGGAGTAGGATAGTAACTGTAAGCCAATGATTACTGCTCTTAAAAATACAATGGCCTTTTTTTTTAAAAAAAAAAAGCTTTCTTAAGGAATAACAGGACCAGATCACACTCACTACTTTTCTTTTTTCTTTTCTTTTCTTTTCTTTCTGCTTTTTTCTTTCTCTCTCCTCCTTTCTTTCTTTTTTAGAGAGGTTTTTGGTATAGGGTGCCTGCGCTCCCCAGAAAGAAAGAAAGCGAGCAATCACCTCGCAGGGGGGATGGCCACGCCGCAATCCCTTCTCCTCCGTTCTCCTCTTGGGATCTTGGGCACGCACGCAAACGTGCCCTGCATGAGTTTAAGCCATCGGGCCCGGGACTCGAACACTTGACGACTACATGGGAGTCCAGCAACCTAGCCGTTACACCATCTGCTGGTCCTGACAGTCATTACTCCCTAAATCCTAAAAATGTTAAAATAATAGGTTAACTCTCCTAACACCGTGAAAAAGAGTTGGCTGTTTTGTTTCCTTAGCCTTGTTGAATAAGACTATGTTTACACGCTTTGGCTTTTCACTTGAGATTTAACAATACAAGGAATAAGCCATAGTAGAGGCTAAATAACATAAAGTTCACACAATTACGTATATTCCATTGTTCTAAGGATCTCAAGGTTATCTTATCATTTTAATCTATATCACGTTAGCAACTACGCGCAGATGTCTGTCTAGTCATTGGAAACGGAACTCAAGGTCAGGGTCTACAAAAACTGCCCGGGGGACGAAATTTAAAGTAACTCCCTAACATGGCGCAAGCATCTCTGGGAGGACTTCTAGGGTTTCCGGAAAGCCAGCCAATCGTATTCTCAATGAGGACTCAGTGGCGGAATTTTCAACTGGGTAAATTGGTTGCAGTCCCGCCCTCTCGTTCCATAGTTTGGTATGAACTATCCCGATGGGGATCAGAACTGTGGCG